TCCAGCAAGACTGATTGTACGGTCTTGTTCTCTGTGGACGGTAGGGCGCACCAGGGAGAGCTGGTTTTGGCATGGCGCCAAATATTTTCCACCACTTGTAATCACCTGAGTTCTACACGTGGTGAGAACAGATTGGCGCCTCGCTGAATCCAGCCCCCCATGAACTACCTCAGCATCCTCAGCGGACCCGACTGTATACGATCTGCAATTTGGGCAATAAATGCATTAAAGAAACCATTAGCACAATTTTTCGGCGTTTTTTCTCTCGACGAGATGCTCAGGCGGCAGCTATTCGAAAAATTTCAACGATACCTTTTTCTACTGATATTTACTCGTGAATGTGCTTCTCGTCGAGGGTACAGCGCCAAAGAGTCGCCGATCCACCTACACCGAAATTCCAGTGGACTGATAAGAAGACGCCGTTGATCATTAAGTAACCATAAACTTTTATAGAGTGCAGTGCTAACACCCTAGATATCCCATAATTGATCGAGGATCGATCAAATGGCAACTTTTTCCCCAAAATCCCCTATTTTTTCCATTCAACTTTACTTTTCTACGAAATGGCTTTCATTGCCTCAACAGTAGCAGATACTGGAATCCAGAATATTGAGACGCCGGCTTTCATCATGGGTTATTTCATGGCGAACGGATGGGCGGGGACAGCTAAATGCTTCCCAGCCTCATTGCAGCATGTTTTTGAGTGACGAAAGAGGTACACCTCGATAGCTGATTCACTCATTTACCTCGCGCACAGGGTGCAGCATCGTGATGTGTGAGGTGTAGGTACGACCCTCCCCCTACCTAAATGAGGGTCTCGGTACGACCCCCCCCCCTTCTCCAACACCTGCCTACAAATTTCCCCTGTTTTTTCACCCAATAATTTTCCGTTGAGCGGTGGGGTGGGGGTATATAGCCAGTGTAATTTCCCCAATTTCCTACCACTTTTTCAGAATTTCCCCGAAAATTTTTCTACTTTTTCCCTAAAATTTTGCAGTCGAGCTGGGGAGGGGGGTATGGGGGTATATAGTGCACATGAAACAGGAAAAATTACGCAAAAAGTCAACAACCGGAAAACCAACGCGACAAATTTCTCTCAGAGGCACATACGACCCCCTCTCTACCCACAGAAGTACGACTTCCCTACTTCGCACATGGAAAGAGCCAAGGGTTTCAGTGTCTTCAATACAGTGATAGTCGCTGCTATACCGCTTACTCCTGTTTCGCGTGTTAGTGCATTGCCAGCAATGCACACAAGTAGTCGATCGTCCCTCTAACAAAAATCTCTATTTTGTAATGAATGAGATAACCACTTTATACCGAATCTTCCATGTCTCCTTTCTCCTTTTTCTTGCCGTTTTCTCGTTTTCCATGTGTTTACTGCGAAAAAGTGATCCTCTCCAATTGTCTACCTTTTCAGGATGCCGAACGATGACCGATTCACCGATACAATTTCACGCAACACTTCCGTGCAATCCGCTATTGAACGTTTTGATCAGCGTAAACCGATGATTATGCAGAGCCGCCCTTCCCGATCCGGCTCCTCGAAGTCGTCTCCAGAAAGCACAACATCCACGCCAATGAAATACAGCTTGGATCCGAAGATCTATCCGGCCCCACCAGTGCCATTGCCGAGGAAAACGTCGTCACCTCCCATGACTTCCGAAATGGCAGCATCCGAAAAGCAGCCAATCCGTAATGATAGGGCTAGGTCAAACCCTCCCAACCCGGACGTGGTTCGCCCTGCTCGTGATGATGTAATTTTTCACCCAATGAGGGCGCTAAGCCAACCGGGTTTTCGACCAAATCACTTTGGTGCGGGGATAACTGGCGTCTACAAGCAGACCCTGAACGCTTCGATTGACGGTTCTGAAGACGACGGCTACGGCGACGAGCTAGATATGTCGCCACCGCGAAAGGAACCTGATGTCTTGGAAGAGGATGCAAAACAAATTTCTCCTACTCCGCAACTTCCTCCCATACCCACGTATACTGGTCAGGTGGGTATTTCAAATGTGTTATTACCACAGTCTATTACCAGATTATTCTATTAAATGAGAATTTTTGATAATCGAATACTGAGACTGAAAAAACCACGGGTGAGAAATCTGTTTTTTTTTCTTTTAAATATAAGACTTTGCTAGGAAGTGGAGTAAAACGGAAAGGTTCATTCAGTGAATATGTATGATCATAAGGGAACATCATGGATGAAAAACTCTCAGTGAAAGTGGAGGTGGTATTAGAGCTAGTGAGAAAGAGAAGGCTGTATTTGGCTCTCTGAAAGAGGTAATAAACTGGAGTCATGGTCATGTGGGAGGAAAAAATACTGACTTGTACATCGGCTGGCCCCGCAAGTCATTGTATAGGCCACATCGCATTCAATAAGCCACTACGATCCTAAATAGTAGGAGAATGCATGTCGCATACCAAAAATTAATTGGTTAAAGTCGAAAACTTGCTCCGCTATCCATTTTAGAAGGTATTCATCGCCTATCTCCACTTGGTGGTACATCCGTTCCACCTCCCCCTTCCCTTCGTCTGGGTCTGAGCCGTATCCTTTTTTCTGGACCACTGGAAGTGAGATGAAGCTGGATTCTGAGGTTTATTTTGAGCGAGGATGAAGGGCCGCAAGGGAAGTCGGTCAGGTTATTCCCAAGATTTTTCACAAGGGAAGGGCTACATTTCAATAGAATAATATATAATAAATAATATAATCAATTGAATATAGGTATAGGTGAATCGAAAGAAACCGGTCAACGCATAGTTGATTCTGGTGGTCCGGTGTTAGGGAGGAGGGGAGGGGTGAAGTGAGTTTCTATCAATGGTGGCTGACCCAGATACAAAAAACCAGCTAGATGGCGCAGCTCGGCTTGATGGGGGCACTGGATGGTACTCAGCTAAGTTTGTGCAAGCGCTTGTGAAGACCTGTAAATCCCTGTTACCAAAGTAATCCACCGGTACCATTTTGAAGATACACGGGAGCTTTCAGGTCTCACCATAGGGAACACTTTATTGAATATGAAGTGACAAAGAAACTAGCAAGCATGAAATGCCCCTCTCGAGCCAAACAGCTCTTAACCAATATTTCAAATAATCAACAAGCAGTGTACAGCATCGTTCTGTGAAACACATGGGGAGGGGAGGGGTCGTACTTGGCTGCTGGGGAGGGAGAGTCGTATTTGGTCGTTGTTGAAAGAGGAAGAGAGGAGGGGAGGGGGGGGTCGTATGTGCCTTTGAGAGAAATTTGCCGCGTTGGGAAAACATTTTTCCGGTTGTTGACTTTTCGCGGTTTTCCCGTTTCACATTGGCTATATCCCCTGCCCTCCCCTTCCCGCTCGACCGCAAAATTTTTGGGGAAAAGTAGGAAAATTTCAGGGAAATTCCAGGAAAAGCGGAAGGAAGCTGATAAGAAAGTGGTAGGTAGGTTCACATAACAATCTCGCGACGGAAATCCAATAGGATAACAATCATAAGCCAGAATTCGCCTCGCAACTACCATACCAAAGCGAATTCTGATTTTGGCCATTTCCAATACCGGTCAGCCCAGGCGTGAGGTGAACTCCACTATGGCGTCTGACCGGCGGTATGTAAATCCTCTCCCAGGGTGAACAAGAGCTGGTTCCCGGCGGGTGTTCTTCGAAGATCAAACAAGCACATTGTGGAGCCTGTTGCAGCAGAGTTGAGACCTTCCTACCATTTCGTCTACCCTTTCCCTTCACGAAATATTTCGTGTTATTTTCGGAGGTCATCGTCGTCTAGAAATCGCTAATATGAAAATATTACGTTTTTATTATGTATTAGGTTGTTCGGAAAGGAATGCGCGTTTGAGTGTAAAAAAATTTTTATTATAAAAACGAAATTAAACAAGGTCAATCTAAAAGATAATCTCCATTACTAGCAATGACTTGTTGCCAACTGTACGCAAAAACTTCGCCAAAAGAGCCTCTTTCACTACTTTTCCCCTCGGGTGTGTCGTTAGGTCCGCCGGAGAGGAAATGTAGGTCAAAAGAGCCTCTTTTTGCCAGTTTTCTCGCCGAGTGTGTCGCTAGGTCCGCCCGCTGCCCCTGTGAGCCGAGTGGGTCATTAGGTCCACCCAAGTGCGTCGTTAGGACTTGCTTGAAGTCTTACCACATACAAGCTCGCATTCGAAATTTTTGGTCGAGCATTTCCTAACGTTTTTTTCCTCTAAAA